GTTTGATACTTAGAAGGCATTAAGGAACAAAATTTGGACGAGAATTCTAAGGTACCAGAGAAGGATCAGATGTTTAGGACGCCGGTAGTAGCCTTGGAATTACCAAAGATTGAACTTCTATTCTTCGACGGCAAACGCCGAGACTACTTTAGGTTCGTTAAGCAGTTTGAAACATTTATAGAACCTGGAGTAAGGGATGATAATTTGCGTTTATTATATTTAATTCACTACTGTAAAAGAAAAGCAAGAAACGCGATTGAAGGTTGCCTTATAATGGAACCGTGAGTGGGATATAAGAGAGCTAAGGCTATTTTAAAGCAGCTCTTTGGACAGTCGCATGTGATAGCCCGTGAAACTTCGGAGGACTTGTTTAGAACTGGAAATGCGGACTCTAATGATCCAGAAAAATTGACGGAATTAGCAATTAAAATGCAAAACGTTGCTCTTACTATGGAACAGTTAAATTGTATTGCAGAACTAAATTCTCCAGTAACTTTAGAACGAATAGTTAGGCTCTTACCTCATCGTGCTAAAACAGGACATAATACGGAAGCTATTAGTGACCTGCGTGCGAGATATGAGGATTCTTCGTTTACACCTAACTCACACCTGGAATTTAAGAAAGTTGTCAATTGTATCAGAAAAGTATACGCTGTTGAAAACCGAGTATGTGACCGCGATGATTTAAAACCCCTTGATGCTTATCCCAGTAAGAAGCCGGTTTGTGTAGCAGAAAAGATGGCTTTTTTAAGTATGGAAAAGAAAGAAAAAGGTGAAAAGGGTAGGCATCAGGATGGATCCGAGGTGTGTGATGGTAAAAGCCTCTTAACTGCTCGAAAAGCAAGGAACGGTTATTTGGATTCGAGCAAACAGAGGTTGATGAGTACAGTAAATATGAATAAGGACAAAACAGGATTGGCTGGATGGAATAAAGCTTATGTTCGGAACCCTTCACGTAGGGTAAATTATTTGACTCGACCTAGAATTGATTCTAGGACAACAAGTTTGAATAGTGACACAGCACTTCATGTTGCTGAGCAATCAGGATGTTTGCGGGCTACTACATCTAGTTCTATAGAGCACCATGATATTAAAGCGGAAGATATTAGCAGCTTAGCGCGTCCTGCTAATGTTTGTTTACGGTCAACGGATAGACAGTTGTATACTGGTCCAAGTAGTCAAAGCAACATTAATAGTGTTAGTGAAAGTGGTAGCATAGCTTTAAAGCCTGCATGCCAACTATCTCGCAACTTGTTATTAACTGTGAAGAGTCGGAACATCATTGTGGACAACACTAACGTGAAGGTGGAAGTGAAACTTGATGTATCTACTAATAATGGCGTAGCTGATGTGAATAATAAACGTAATGGTAACGATAGTGGAATCACTACAGGTAGTGCTGTTTCTTCGGTTGATGTTGCTAATATAGCTTCCTTGTGTACTTCGGATCAAGACGAAATTGGATGTTTGAGCGTGGAGAATGTAGGCGTCGGTGGCAATAGCATTAGCCACAGTGAACGCAGTACTGTGAGGGCTAACATTCTGTACCCTAGGTGCAATGAGGTGTCATCTAGCTTTCATGGACATGCTGTTGTGTTGAATATGCAGCATGAGGAATCGAGCATGGAATTGTCCACCTGTCGCACTCCACCATCATTGACTTGTACTACAAGCTTCGGGATGAGCACTACCAACAGTGATAAGATAGAAGAGGCTAAGAGCATTCCTAGTAAGGAAAGCAATGTTGATCGAGTAGAGTTAGCCACTGTGCATGAGTCGACTGGATGTCATGAGAAGTGTACTATTGCTTGTATAGATGCGGCTACTAATGATGATAGCATTGATGATACTCCTGCGAGTAATAGTGATCGATGGAAGTTGAAAGACACTCATCGGCGTCGAAATGATCGTACGTTACGCTCACATACTTCTACCGAAGCTAAGAAGCATAAGAAACAACCTGATGCTACTATTATTAAGAAGCCTAAACTTCGTTCTCTTTCGGATGCTATGACTAGCAATGGAAATAGTAGTCATCAGAATCTTAGTAGAGACAGCGATAGTAAAGAGACAGAAAGCGTGAGCAGTCCATCTATAGTGACTAGTCGATCAACTTCATCGAACGAGCGTTCTAGTGTTTTGACGTCATCGGGCCCTGCCGCGAATGCTAAGTTGGTTGAGGATACACAAGGTTGTGTAACTGTAAGTGTTCCTACTTCGGTTGACTGTCAGTCAAGTGATAATGAGAAGGAAGTGTCTGATGGTAACAGCCAGTCTACAGTGTTGCATGATAACGATGCTATTGACCTGCATATGTCGTGCGTCTCTGAAACGGAACATGAAGAACAACAAGTGAGTTTATCGGTTTTGGACTGTGACACTTATGCTGTTCTTTCATGTAGAGAGATGAGTTATACAACAATGGAAGAGTTTCACTCTACGGATGCTAGTGCAGACCGAAACTTGAAGTGTCAGTAAACGTTTGCTTATTGCATGGAGGGATTTTGCGGGCCGGTGTAGAATCTTTTTTGAATGTTTTGTTTTTTGTAAAATCCCTCCATGTATATATATTTGTGTTATGATATGACTGACTCTTTCTGTTGACATTGGTATTCTATTTGATTCCATTTTGAGATTTTATCATTGTTTATTGTTATTATTTCTATATTTTGTACTTATATTGAAGCTTTTATGTTTGCTTCTGAACTGTACACATGTTGTTTGAATTTGGTCTTTAATATGGCTACAGCCATATTTGGATTTGATACTGTTGCGGTTGGATCTAGCATCACTTATTCTTTTGGAACCGGATACCCATCAGGATAATTGGGACTTGGAAGGTGTATCAAAAGTCAGTTATTTGTTTGTATTTCCATTTTTTTTATATAAATAGACCACTTTCTCCTAGAATTGTGTTCTGATATTGGACTAGGAGAAGGGTTCGTTCGACTTACACCTACTGGAAACAAATTGAACTGATACGGTAGAAAATTCATCTACAGTCCTGGAACCTATTGGTTAGGGCTATCCTGAATTCGTTGAGGTTTACAGTATCCCGAAGGAAGGCTGTATTAAACTTGTGTGATGTTGTCTGCCCCGTTTTCCAGTGCTTCTTTAGTTTCAGTTTCATTTTGGCGATTAGCAAGTGGTGATCTGATGCTATATCAGCTCCTCTCCTGGTTCTCACATCCTCCATAGTCCTTCTGAACGTTTTGTTGATACAGATATGATCAATCTGGTTTTGAGTAGTGTGATCCGGTGAAATCCATGTAGCTTTGTGTATGCGTTTGTGAGGGAATATTGTGCCACCAATGACCAGTTTGTTGAAGTCTCATAGGTTTGTAAATCTCTCACCATTTTCGTTTCTTTCTCCCAGTCCATGTCGTCCCATGATGTCTTCATATCCAGTGTTGTCCATTCTAACCTTGGCATTTAGGTCTCCCATCAGAATAGTCAAATCCTATGGTGAGCGTCTGTCGACGATTGACTGCAGCGTTTCGTAGAATTGATCTTTATCGTCATCATTGTTTGCTTTCGGCTCTTTAGATTGATGAGACGACTTATCAGTAACACTGAGGTTGCTCTTATACGCTTGCTACTTCTGTGGTTCATGTTTCCAAAACTATGCTGAGGTCGCTATTCTGTCGAGACACCTGCAACATTCTTACTCAGGCGCTTACAGTATGACTTAGAGGTTGGCATTCAATAATAAAGAAAAAAAAACAGTTAGACAGTACGAGATTTTATTCGTCAAATATTTATTTTTACAAACTCTACTCTTTTAACTAGAATTTCGATTTCAACGTACATAAATCCAGCTTCTTACTTCGACTTCTCTTCTATCCACCTGACACTGCACAACTCTCCCTTCTTTTTGCTGTACTCCTTTATCTGTGCGTTATATTCTTATATTCCCATAATTTACTTTAATTTAAGTGGTCAGTATGAATGTTATCTTGACTTACTACTGTATTGACTACTTTAACATGACAGGTTAAGTAGTGCTTTGGTTATATATACACTTGCCACACTGCTGCCTTTTCCTCTCTCTCTTCTCCTTTTCAGAACCCCATTCACGGTGGGAAATCCTTGGCAACTCTAGGGAACATGCACCCAATGTACATGACTGTCTGGATCACAGCTCGTATCAAGCGCGTTCCATATGACCTTTCCCAACAAATTCACTATTGATCTCGGCCAATCGCCAATAGAACCTATTGTGCACCTTCCTCATTTGTACTCTAATATTGAAAATGTGGCTGTATAATACTGTTTCTGTCAGTGATATGGTGTAAATATGCAATCAGAAACTGTCTCTTATACTTAATTTAACTGCTATAACTTTTACAGTAATTGTAAAAGCATTTGTGACAATTTGATCTAGCCTGTAAACTGGCGTGACTCTTGTAACTTAGTTATTTGAGAATAAAATTATTATTATTATTATTATTAGTCGTTTGTAGGTGCATCCTATCAGTGCCTTTTGTGCATGTTTGGACAGCATCAGTGCAACTCCTTGTATATGTGAAGCATTTTTCCCTTCATGACCAGAGTATAACAGCAGTTCCCCTGAAGTTAGTCTCAGTTGTCCTACCTGTGTCCAATGCGTTTCACTGATTCCAAGCACCTCCAGGTTGTATCTTTTCATTAATGCCGCAACTTGAAATAGTCTACTAGTCTCCCACAATGTACGAACGTTCCATGTACCTAAAAAAATGGTTGCTCTGGTTGTGAGAAGCGGCATCGGCCCCGTGACTTCCGAGGAAATTCGGCTCTCATGACGCGACGTCATAATTCTTCTTCCAACTACCATGGCAGAGTTAAAATGGTTTGATTTATTTGTTCTGGTTAGCGTTTTTTTGGCAAGTTAGATTTCGACGGAATGGGGTCGTCAACCCCACGTCCAACCCTCCCCCTTTACCCGGGCTTGGGACCGGCAGTAGCTTCGAAGGTTCTACTGGCGGAGTTTAGCATCTATCTATCTATCTATCTAGAACAGCTTACGATAACTGCCAAGTAGAGAGAGACGATGAACTTGAAGAAGAAGACGATGAAGATGAAATGGATACATCATTCAAGATGGATGATTGTATTTTATTTTTAGATTCAGACTCTTTCTTTGCCAACGCTGAATCACGTGATGCTTGCAAATGTTCACGAACGTCTAGAGTTAAACCGCCTAAACCAATTGTAGTTAGAAAATTAATAGCAAATCGTGTATCTTTAGGATTATCACGTGGTAGAAGACCAGCAAAAATATGGTTGGAGTGTTTCATCTCGAAGTCTCGCTTGTAATTTTGATAAGCCCATAAATGAACAAAGTTCCAAAAAAGATGTTTTAAAAATGTACTCCCAGACGAAGTTGTATCACGTTCATTCAAGCGTATACACTCAAATACACCCCATGATATGGAATCAGAATATAAAAGATGAGCAAACAAGAAAGCAACATTACGCAATTTCGCCATTTCTAATCTATGAATAATTGAGTATTGTTCAGCGAAAATTTTTTCAAATTGAGCAACATAACTACGAGGTGGACCTGCTTCTTCTACAAGCGGTGCAGGAGTTTCTTCTTTCTTTGTAGGCTTACTAACCTCTTTATTACTTCTATATCGGCTACCGGGACCTAGTTCAGAGCTTGCAGAAACAGTAGTAGATCCTATACTGGCTGGTGCACTAGATGGAAAAACAACTCGACAAAGTCTTTGAGCTAATCGACCATAAAGACTTTCATAACTACGTGTTTGAGCACAACAATCTAAAACCATCGAAGCTACTTCATATTCTTCGCCTGGTTAAATTTTCAATTGTAGTAGACGATGTCCAGCTTCATCTGCGCTTAAACTACTTTGTAGCATTAGATAGATGGTACGACGTAAGTGGACTAGATTTGTTTCTGTTTGATCAATAATTGTCTGTTGATTCTCTGCAGTTGCAGCAGCACCACGTTTACACTCTTCATCCTTTTAATTATCATCATCGTCTCTCGGTGTTTCGCAATGGCAAGAACCAAGCAGACTGCTCGTAAATCAACCGGTGGTAAAGCCCCACGCAAGCAACTGGCTACCAAGGCTGCACGCAAAAGTGCACCAGCAACCGGTGGCGTGAAAAAGCCCCACAGATATAGGCCTGGAACTGTTGCCTTACGAGATATACGTCGTTACCAGAAGAGTACTGAGCTCTTGATCCGCAAGCTTCCTTTCCAACGTTTGGTCCGCGAAATCGCTCAAGACTTCAAAACTGACCTTCGTTTCCAGAGTTCAGCCGTCTCAGCGCTCCAAGAAGCCAGTGAAGCATACTTAGTTGGATTGTTCGAGGACACTAACTTATGTGCCATCCATGCTAAGCGTGTTACGATTATGCCAAAAGATATCCAACTTGCTCGACGCATTCGAGGTGAACGAGCCTAGATAAGTGTTAATGTAGAGGAACCCAGAGATAGAAAGATAGCCATTTTTGATAGTAAATGAAACATTAAATTTCAGGGAATCCGTAGGTGGATGGTAGAAAAGTGATTGATTAATCTCTGGTGAGATCCCAGCTCTCATAACGAAGCTTCGATTCACGGATTAAAAACGGGTGTCTAGGTGAATTCCGCATAATTAGAACTATTGTATCAATTATTCGGATAACACACTTCGTTAGATGTAAACTACACTTAAAAATATTTTACTGTGATGTGCGAAAATGCACTAATTAAAAATTTACTTCGTTTATTCAGTCCGATGTTGTGCATAAAGATAATTAGAACCAAAATACCATAGATAAAAAAAAACTTCCGACTTTCCACCTACGCAATCATATTTTAATGGTATGGTGTGAGCTTGACTGTTTTCAGGTTTTCTGGAGAGTTTGGAATTCAAATAAACATCATTTTTGTTTACTAACCTTCATATTTGCTTGTCTTGTTTATTTCCATGCATCGACGGCTATGTCAATAGGAAATTAACGTCAAACTTTATCCAATTAGTCTTTCTCAGTATCACTTATACGAGATTATTATGGTAAGTTATTTGCCTTAAACTCACTTTGGAGGAACAGAATAAGGAATAAACCATGAGTAGGTAAACTTCTTATAGACTAATAAAACTAAAGTAAATTACAGTATTACCGTCACGAATTTTCGAAAAAACTAATAAAGTGATCTTATCTTCAAATAAGGGGATACAGAGATGGATGATAATGAGTTGTGATGTGTAGTAATACGGATAGAAGAGAAGTTTGGGTTAGAATCTGGATGTCTGTACAGCGAGAAGGGCAAGCAGGGTATGACTTCCACAAGTTGGTTCCAAAAGAAACTTGTCACAGCCACCTGACTACGTAGACGTATTAGTGGCATTCATATTTCGAGCATATTTCTATGTTGTTTAACTGTATTATTCGTTCACCTTCACTTTTCTACTCTGAGAAGATTTCAGAATGAGTTTCTGAAGCATGAGAGTTTGAGGTAATGTTATTAACTGGAATGTTTCGCGTTGATGTAAATAAGTTTTCTCCTGCACTTGCTGGAGTATTTACATGCGTATTATTGCCTTAATCAGCCTGGACCTATGAGAGAGGTGTAGACAGAGATGGTTGTTTCAAAAGACCGCAGAATTTTTAAAGTCTGGTGAGTTTAGGCTCAAGTAGCAAACTTTCCGTTGCGAAGCCGTACCACAGTTTCAAATTATAGAGTGGCTGATCTAACACTTTGTTGATCACTTGAATTTCCATATCTACCAATTGTCCTTTCCACAGTGTAGTAGCGTTTGGTAACATCACCAGTAAACTTGATAGGTTTGAGATTTCTGTTTAACTCACATGATTAAATCTTCACCGCTGGGAGCAACCACGCAGTTTCTGTCACGTTTTTTCTCGCTGCACATGGGAGTCAGCTTCTGCATAGCACAACATATATAAGTATGCGAAAAAATCTAAAAATGAAAATAATATCACTGTATAAAAATATCTGAAAATATATGACGTGATGACGTTAGGGCGCTAAATGCCTAGGTACGGTCACGAGTTTGGAGAATCTTCTCTCTCCCTCTCTTGAAATGCTCTCGTTTCATCACGCATATACAGTCACTAACTGGCAAGTCCTACTCACTACCTTCTCGTGGTGGGGTGCTGTTTACAAAACTGGGAGGTCAAATTCGAGTGTCAAGCGCTTTAACCAAGTTAGTAGGTACGACGCATCCATCTAGGGGAGTTGGAAAACCCTGAATCTGACCAGAGGATGCTCCAGGACCTATTGTTGGTTAGTGGCTACCAGAGTACTACACCCAAATCTTCTGCTGTCAGACATTACTTTTTTATCCGCATCATATACTATTTATAACTAGCGCGCACCACACTCGTTCCATCTTTTTATAAGCTGTCGTTGTAGTCTTTCTGATCGCCGTACCGCTGTCTTCTTTGCTGCTTTCCGTGACTCACACGCTTGATAATCTTGAAACCACTTCTGCAATTGACTGGCTGTCTTCTCTCTGGATCGTGTACACCGCGCCGCGTCTCTCTGTGGTAACGTACGGTCCTTTCCACTATGAGATCAGCTTTCCCCACCCTGATCCTCCTGCTATGCTACTTCTTTGTTCTCTACACTTTACTAGGTCCTCCACTGCGAAAGGTTTCCATGTTCTCCTCTGTTGTTCCGCCTTCTTTATGTCTGATATTTGCTTCTTTCCCACGTTCCTGATTGCCTCCCTCCTCTCTTTTCTTAACCTTGTTGTCTTCCATTCCTGTTGTTTTGGCCAGGTCTTATCGTGCAATGGAAGTTGCGGTTGTCTGTCATATATGAGCGAGAAGGGTGATTTCTTGGTTGTACCTTGTATTGAGGAACGATGCGCCAGCAAAATCAATGGTAACTCTTTCTCCCAATCTCCTTCTTTAGATGATAACCATTACTTTAATTTCCGGTTGTTTCTATCTGTAAGCCCGTTTGTCTGAGTATGATACGGTGTAGTTCGTATCCTCTTGATGCCAAACTGTTTTAGACTGTCTTTAATCTCGTCACTTTCAAAACAGGGACCCTGGTCAGTTAATATCATTTTCGGTATTCCGTGGCACGCTACAATATGCCGAATCACCACTTCGTTTATGGTGAAGGAGAACACAGGTGTAGGCAACCGAATCGTATTTACCGAAAATTACAGAGTTAATTGGTAAAATAGGAAAACCATATCGCAAACCGTTAATTTGCAAAACATCAGTCCATCATCAATCCATTGTCTGATATTTCACTGTTCATGTGTTTCATACAAATCCCATTGTGTTTCCACTCTTACTTTCTTGATCTTCCCCCATCTTCTGCTGCCAGACTTTACGTTTTTACTCGCGTCATACACTACTTATAAGTAGCGCGCACCACATCAGGAACTGGCTGTTCTTTTGCAGCAGCTTTAGCCTTACGCTTTGCTACGCTAGCAAATAAATACTGCACAGCACGACGAACGATGTCAGCGTCCATGTCACTGCAGCTAAAATCGAAACCTGTGCCCATAGTAAATGTTGCGCTGGGGCCTGTCTGACTGTAAGCTATTGTTGTTGCGTTATGTCCATCCAAACAATCATCAATTAGTGGTTTTGCGAAAGTTTGAGAAATATGGTCCTGACAAGCATTCATATTGAAAGCGTGTTCATAAGTAAACATAACGTCTTTTCCAGTCACTATTTGGGGTTCATTGGAGGTCACTGTAGTACAGATATGGTTAATCTCCGCTTTCTCCTTAGCATTCTGAGGTCGAATTCTCACAGCCACCTTGATGGGTGTAGAATTAACGTTCATGGTTGATTTCTCAGAAGATCTCTGTACTGCCATAAACTTAGTTGGAATCAACGGTCTGACATCACTCCAGATCAGTCAGCGCGTGTTATGTTCCAACGAATGAGTTGATAATTGCTTCTGTCTTTGGGAAAATTTCATGTTATTTGTGTAACGACCACCGCGAGACAAGCCTATGATGGATCGCATCCAAATTATTAGCTTCCTTCGTACTAAACAGACTGTTCAAAATGCAAGAGTGATAGACCCTCAAGAAGCAGACTATATTTTGTCCTGGTCGAGGATGTGTTGATCATGTCTCCGGTCTCCGCCAAATGTTATAACATTACCATACCCAATGCATGACCGTGTTTCTTGACATCAGAGCCTCCTTCCATTTGTTGGACGGAAATATTCTCCGGGAATGTCTATTGAAGAGAGGTATGTCTGTGAAGTATGCCAACAGCCTGAATCCCGGTACCACTTTGGGCCAGTGTATGACGTGGTGTCCTGGTTTGAAAGAAGGATGTACGGAACACAAGTCCCTTGGCTCATCAGGACTCACTAGTTGCGATTTTACAGATGGTGCAACCCAGTGGCTCGAGACTTTGTCATACAAGGCTCAGAATAGAAGCAAGTAGCGGTCATGTCCTAGCTTTCTCTTGTTTTCTTCACAAAGTAAGAGGAGACTCTTTCGCTGAAAGAAACCTTCCTAGCTGTAATTTTGTTAACCAAATTTCTTCTCCAACCACTCTTACCACTATTCCACTGCGATACTCATTTTTATCATGCTTATCGTTCTTTCCCTATCTCTTTGAAACATCATTTTAACTGTACGACGCACCCCTTTTACTAACATTTATGTTTTAAATAAATAGATAAGTGGCAAAAGGGAGACTCCCAGGCTTATGTCCAGCGTACCAGATCACATATCATTCACCAGTGACGATGATACGTATATGCAGAGTTGAACTAAGCTTTTATCCTCAACATCTTTCTGACTTGTAATACCCAAAGCCAAGTCAAACCTAAAGTCAGGAATGAAGAGGATCAAAGGAACGATAGTTGGGTTTCCGAGTAGAGAGTGATCTAGGCTGACTGAATAGCGTGAGAAGATGAGGAGTATGACGTGCACAATGGGGATCTGGTGAAGATGGATGGTCGTGAACCTGCAACTTATCAGCTCAGCATCAGTATCGAAGACAGAAAATACCACTTAATTCCTGGGAAATTAGTTACCGCTGCACAGGAATGGTTAGCTATTAGTGAAGATGCCTGAATAGGAAGGGCTGTTTCAATTCAACAACTTTAAATAACTATGCTTTCGGTGCAACTTCAGAGGCTAGAATTATTGTCAAATGTCTAACAATTATTTCTCCTCAGGAAGCATTTACCACTATATGTCATCGGTGTAGCGCAATCAAGAAATGATATGATTAGTGCTAGGCTATACATTTCAAGCCTTGAAACAAAGGCATTATGAAGAAATACTTTGCAAATTTCTTATTCAACCCATTGGATGAGTGATGCTTAAAAAACGTGTCTTCATTAGGTTGGAAGACAAAAGTATATAAACATTAGTCCGACCGAGGGGTAGATGTTGCAGTTACAGTTTATTTTGTGAAATGTCCGATCAAGAATCTAGACTAAAAGCTATCGAGTCGGCTATCGAAGTTATACCGAATTTTCCCGTGGCTGGAATTTTATTTCGGTATTATTTCCTTTTCATGTATTTTTTAACCACACTTATGAAGTGACTTTTTTGGTGTTTTCAAAGATCCTGTCCTAACTCAATATCTATTGGATGAATTATATTATGAAGCTACATCCTTGGTAGGGCGGAAGGCTAACGTAAGTTATACCACGTCGTATTCATCGTACTTTAGAAGATAGACGCTATTGTGGGCCTCGAGTCCCGCGGATTTCTTCTTGGACCAACTCTTGCTCTTCGTCTGCAGTGCTCATTCGTCCCTATTCGAAAAGCGGGAAAACTTCCTGGTGCCTGTTTTACTCATCAGTATACGCTGGAGTATGGAAGTGTAAGTTTGTGTTAAGGATGTATGACTCATAAAGGCTATCATTTTTGTAATAAAAGCCACATAAGTGACAAAGTAATACTTTGATTGACTAACTATTTAATTGAAAGACTCAGTACTAAACGACTTCCAAATCCCATCCTACTTGCTAGTTGGACTGGCTAAAGACGGTCTCAAGCGTGGTTGTTTATGTCATTGATTGGTTTTTAAAATAATATGGAGTCTGGGAGTGAAATAACAATGACATGCGCCTAATCACTGTCACTGCGTTAAATTTTTTGTGACCACCAGCTACAGTAACGAATCTTCAGTTCTCTAGTGTACATACGATGTGTTTCGAATTCGATTTAAATCGATCTGGAATATTTATGAGTGTCGCCCGCTTGTTATGCCGGTCTACTTTGTTAAAACCCAGCTATTCGTGAAGGCAATGGTAAACAGCCTCCACATCACTTCTTGGGAATCTCCAATGCAGAACTAGACAATAGGAAATAACGTCCAAATCTGGTTGGTTGTGGTTGTAAAAGATTACTAAAGTATAATCAGCGATGACTGATTCGGATATGGGATATCCTCTTCATGTATGGTAGATACAGAGTGTAAGTACTTCTCACGGAGGTTTGAGAGTTGAGCTGCCATTTGGAGTCACTCAAGTGTTAACTTCTTCACACTGAGAACAGTTTTCCACTGAATCCAATACTCTTGGCGAAGCATCATGGAATAGTTCTGATAGCTAGAATCAGGCGAAACCAAATGTCTACATAAAATTTTAATAGATATTTGTCTTATTCAACCGTAGTCTTCCTCTTTTCTGTTTGTTTAAGGATACTATACAAATTCAAAAGGATTCTCTAAAGCCCGGTGACAATGTAATACTGTTTGATGATGTTTTGGCCACTGGTGGGAGTCTTGAAGCTTGTGTCCACTTGGTAAACCTAACTGGGGCTAAGGTTATATCCAGCTTGGTGTATATGGAACTAAAGACTTTGCCTGGACGTAAAAGAATTGAAGACCTTAACATTCCTGTCCACTCACTTTTCAAAAAATGAACACACCTTCCTGTGTGGAGATGCCGCCTTTCCTAATTTTTCCTGTTTATTTTTTAAAGTTAGTTGTTTCACTTGCATATGCTTGGTAAACAAAAGTCTCCGATCTATTAAGTCAACACATTGTTAGTCACTAGAATGTAATTCTTGAGTAGTTAAGTTCATTTGTGTATGTAGGTGCTTACTTTATTCGACTAACTGTTTCCTATCATTTTGACTGTAACTGTTTGGAGATTTTTTTGTATTATCAATAGACTTTATTTGTACTGTGTATGTATTTTTGCGCTTCATTGTATGGATTCAGTTTGCTTCCAACTGTATTCGTGACTATTTGTTCACTGTATAGACCGATTCAATGGGACTGCTACTAACCGAAATAGTGTTATGAGAGTGCATTGCATGCGAATAAAGTGAACGATTTAGAGCTCACAGTATCTAACGGTATCACGCACTTCTAACAGTTTTATTAGACAGTCTTGATGTCGATTGTCATTGCATCAGACTAACTGTAGAGACCTGTGTGGTCTTGGAGAAAAGTTTAGATGTTTAGTGTTCTAACATAGTTGTATTGTGTTTGAGGCCCAGTAGCGGTTCAAGTTCGTAGATGACGGATATAGCCTTCGTGCTTTAATGATAGATGTGGTAGTAATGAACAAGGCTCCTAAGCATTAGGATGAGTGAACAGAATACCGATGGATGAGTGATGTCCAGTAACCGCATGTTTCCGAGTGTTGAAGTTAGCTCAGTAAATTAGTATGTGGGAACAAGACAACCGTCCAGTATAATAGGTTTCGTACTAATTAGTGAGACACTTTATGCAAAACCTGATACTTTGATTAGAACGGCTCAAAATCATTTGCGATAGCGCAGACGCATCCATCACTGTCTTCTCTCAGATTCTAATCTCTCGAATTCTCATGACATTATTTTAAAATTCAGTTCCTCGTGTTATGTTTCTCAAACCATATCTTTCGTTGAGCGTGTTGACTGCTTCACTTATCTTGTGTGTCTCATCAATGTTGACGGCCTGGTGTTTGATGAAATCCCGGCATAGATACAGAAGGCTCGATTTGCTTTTGTCAGCCTGCGTCACTTTATGGCGCAGGTGCGATATGCGTCTACTATCTAAATCATGTGTCAACTGCTCATTATTTCACTCCCTTCTTCTATATCAATGTGAATCATGACCGGTAACAGTTGAGGATATTTGTTAGGTACTGATATTCGAGTACCAATATCTTCGAATCATTGTTCTTATATCTTAATTCAATCGAGTAAACAATGCTGTTCTTAGGAATCGAGTAATAGGTAGGGATGGCAAATCAATAAATATAGTATTGAATCTTCGTCATTTGAGGCGATTTGGAGATTCGTCAAGATATGTTTTGCCATGAAGCAATAGTCTTCTGAAATTTCTATCGTTCTATATTGGCAGAACATCACGTTTTTCGAGCTTAAATATTTCAAGGGCAGTCGATCAATGAACTATTTGATTAATGTTCAAACATTTAAACGACAATATCGATCATATGTATAATTGCATAAATAAGCATGTTTGATTGTATATTTTGATTCTGTTAATAAGTGTTCTCCAACCTCTTCCGTCTTCTTATTTTTGAATGGTGGGAGTCTAACGTTCAGTGCTGTCATTAGTAAAGTGGTTCAGCATTACTCAAGTGCAGAACATAAAAGTGGCGACGGAGTGTACAACCCACAATGTCAATTACCCTTGAACAGATAGAATCTTGACTGGAATGTCAAGGAAAACGATATGAACAGTTCCAGGAACGTATGTTGGAGTTGTTAATCAAACAAATGAATCTGAATCACAGAGGTTTTACCGATGATTCATATAATCCGCATACAGACTCAATAATTAATTCCATTCATGAATTTCATTTTGATGGCCTAGCTGGTGTGACTTTCGAGTTTTGGTTCAACAAGTATGAGGATTTGTTCAAGGTCGACCTCAACAAACTTGATGACGCCGCCAAAGTCAGAATCCTCCTGAGAAAGCTCGACACAAGCGAACACAAACGTTATAGTAATTTCATCCTCTCAAAGAACCCGAGAGATTTTTCTTTTGATGCTACAATTGAAACGCTGTCGCAAATCTTCTCTGAACAGTCATCTCTCTTTATTATTCGTTATCAATGCCTCAAAATAACTAAGTCAAGTGAAGATGACTGGGTAAAACACACCGGATTAGTAAATAGTGAATGCAAACGATTTAAACTATCATCAATGACGGAAGATCAGTTTAAGTGCCTTGTATTTGTGTGCAGCTTACAATCTCCCGAAAATGCTGATATAAGAACCAGAATCTTGGTACAATTGAGCAGAACCCAAACTTCTCGCTTCAAGAAATAACTGCAGAGTGTCAGAGATTAGTAAATTTGAAGCATGATACCTCCATGGTCGAAAACAATGGCCATTCATCATACGTGCATGCCGTTAGTGACAAGAAAGATTCCGGCTCACAAAAGCATCACAAAAGCACAGACAACCAGCCCTCATCCCCATGCTGGTCATGTGGAGGTTGGCACTACAAGAAGTTTTGTCCATACAAAGAATATGTTTGCACTAAATGTCACAAAAAGGGCCACAAAGAAACTCGATGTAGAAAAAAAACTCGCAGACAAGACTCCGCGGAAGTCTATTCTAAGAAATACAGATCTGGTAAGACAATAAACAAAGTATTGGTGTCTCATAACCAGACAAGAATTCACCACAGAAGAAAGTATGTGACTTTGGATATGAATTCACACCGTATCCGTCTTCAACTTGACACAGCATCTGATATCACCCTTATCTGTCCAAAAACTTGGGAGAAAATTGGAAGACCTACAGTTCACCAAACGAAGCAACTAGCACACAGAACATCTGGTGGCAAGCTAAATACTGTTGGGGAAATATTATACACTTTTTCAAAAAATGAGGCAACAACGAGTGCAACTGTATACTTAACTAAGAACCCAAACCTTGATTTGTTAGGGTTGGATCTGATACATGCATTAAAATTAACAAACCATTCTATTAACAACATCTGCAGCCGAGTTAGAATCAATAACCCTTTAGAGTCAAATCTGAGAAATGCCAATATAAAAAGGCATCATTGAGTATTTTCAGAAGCGCTGGGCGAATGTACGAAAGCCAAAGCACTACTGACTCTTAAGTTAACAGCTATTCCTGTTTTTGACCAAAAAGACCTGTACCTTATGCTTCTCTCCCAGTAGTTGAACAGAATCCAAATGCCGAAACTGCCTTTCGTGCTGACAAACCATTCGAAATGCGAGCCTCAAAGAATGGCAGAAACCTACTGGACCTTTGGAGAGAATTCATGCAGATTTCGCTGGCCAAATCCAAGGTAAAATATTTCTAATTATTGTAGATGCGTATACAAAATGGCCAGCAATATACAGCATGCCGAATTGTACAGCCTCAGAAACTATTCAGAAGCTGTCTACCTTATTTAGTTGTTTCGGAGTGCCAGAAACCTTGGTAACTGATAATGGATCACAATTTGTTGCGGACTCGTTCAAGCGATTCTGCAGTTCAAATGGCATAACGCATCTACGGTCCCCACCTTACCATCCCTAATCCAATGGACAAGAAGAATGCTTCGTTGACACTTTCAAAAGAGCTTTACTGAAAGGAGGAGACGAGGGCCAACTAGCCAAGTAATCACTAGATTTTTAACAGCTTACAGAAGCACTCCGAACCATACGGTCCCAGAGGGGAAGTCTCCAGCTGAAGCAATGTTTGGAAGACGTATTCGGACTATTTTTAAAGCGATGTTGCCCCCTAAAAGAGCGAATAGGTACAGGCCAAATCAAAATATTCGCAGCTTCAACGTTGGCAATAAGGTGTTCCTAAAATCATATCTGGGAAAAAATCGATGGGAACCAGGAACCGTCGTACAAAGACTAGGAAGAGTTTTGAATCGAATAACAGGAGATTTGTTAGACACACGAACCAACTTCGAAAGGACGAAAGGATGTTACGCTCGGGTGATAATCGCGTAAATCTACCGCTGGAGTTGATCACATTTGTCCTGGAATACCGAAGAAAAGGGAAGGTCGGAGACACTAACTCTAAAAACTACAACCAGAATGGAACGCCGCCGCAAACCAGTCGTAAGACTACAAGTGGGCTCAAGAAAAAAATCTTATTCCGGTGGGGTGTTGGGATAGCCAATCGAGGAGGAAGCCACGCACACTGTGGACTGATGAACTTATCGAATAAACGCTTAAATATTTCAAGGGCAATCGATCAATGAACTATTTGATTAATGTTCAAACATTTAAACGACAATATCGATCATATGTATAATTGCATAAATAAGCATGTTTGATTGTATATTTTGATTCTGTTAATAAGTGTTCTCCAACCTCTTCCGTCTTCTTATTTTTGAATGGTGGGAGTCTAACGTTCAGTGCTGTCATTAGTACAGTGGTTTGGCATTACCCAATTTCAGAACATAAAATTTCCCTGGGCCCCACCACTCCACATGTTACACAAAAGGGATGGTGTTAGTTGGAGATCATGCGGTGAGTGCCAAGAATTAAACCTACTCTCTCTCTCCGACAACAACCCCATCCCCCAAATTCACGACATGACTGCATCCCTCAAGGGCGCGACTATTTTTTCTGAGATCGACCTAGTACGGTGTTTCAGCACACATGCGGCAGGAAGGTTAGTATCACTAGCCGACTCACTTTGCGGCAATCCACGCAAATTAGAATTGAACGGTACCGCGCGTACTGAATTTTCAGAGATCAACACAGGTTTGACTGAGGCAAAACTCCTAGCTGTTTCTGACCCACAAACCATGCTCACTATAGCGGTTGGTGCACCGGATATTGCTATGGGAGTTGTAATGCCACGGCTCATTCGAAGTTGGCAACCTCTCGAATTATTCTCACGATTCCTCACTCCCACGGAGACGAGATATATCTCTTTTAACCGGGAGATGCAAGCAGCCTACTATGCCGCCAAACATATACGGTTATTTTGGCTCAGAAACTACCTTGAGAACTGAAAGTTTCGTACCAAAGTAAATAGAGTGCAGGCTAGTTAGCGAGTCTCAGAATTGGGAGTTTCACAGGGGACCATCTTAGTTCCACTTCTCTTCTAATATTTAATAACAACCTGTTAGCCACAGTTGGCTCGACGGCATTGATCTACGGAGACGATGAGAAGGTCTGGAGTTCCATTACAGGCAAAGAGGATTCAACTGAGTTTCAAAAAGACCTCACATCTATTGAGGAATGGGAAGTGAAAAACGGTTTAAAACTAAAACAACCGAAGTGTCACGTCATGTACATTCTGCCCCATATGACGCAAACGATTTACAACCTCAATGAAAGTCTATTCCCTTATGTCTTCTCAGAGCGCGATCTCTGTTTAATGACCACTGAAAGACTTCACACAAGCCCGAACTATATAAGGGACGCAGCCAAGGCAAATGTGACTCTTCACTTTATGCGAAGACAACTTGGTACTATCACCCCAGAATTACTCTTAACATTATTTAAGACATAGGCGCGCTCACGCCTGGAGGTTCACAGCG